TTGGACACAGCCTTTTATTACACATCTTAAACTTTTGGCAGAGATCTTACGACTCCGCATTTACCGAATGATCGAAAATATGAAGATGCTCTATTTTACATAAAAAAAAATCGCAATCTGATATCGCAAAGTGTTCCGACTATTTCGATCTTACGTAACGCGATTAGAATTTCGCGGTTGTCAAGGGGGAAGAAAATGAAAAGACAACAGGGTCGAAGCCCTAAGGAAGATCGACCAATTAGAGACACGACGTTGAGACATTTTCGTGGCTAATCTCCGGCGTTTTTATTAGAAACTCGTTCCCGGGATCCGAGATTGATTCCGGCTGTGAGTCAACCGTCTGACGCATCGCCTCGAGTGTGTTGCGTCTAACGGAATTGCGTACACCGGCTCGCATGTCGACGAGAAAAATTTCTGATCGACGTGCAGTCATCGAACGTCGCGTGGAGAACGTTTGGTATTCCAGGTGCGCAAAGATGATTCCCGGTTGCGGTTTAAGAATGGGATAACAGGAGAAACTCGTCGTAGGAAGGATCCTCCGACTCTTGGAACGACCTTGATGAGTCTTAACTATTATTAGAGTGCGGATTTTTATGCAAGATAAAACATCTATGGCGGTCAATTAAAAACTCACTGCGATACGTGTTTCATTTTTCACGGTCCTAAGCAGCGAATTCAGTGTTTAGATAAATGCATAAAATTCGCTGTTTAATTATTAGAGTTTTCCTATTGTCGACGCGTGAGTTTGTTTCCGTAGGAAAGGAAACTCGTTTGTATGCGCGATTCGCGATGCCACCGGAAGCTCTTTATTTGCTCGTTGCGTTTCGCGTGAATAACGATGTTACGCGAAGGGGTTGACGTTCGGGCGTTGATCGGACACCGGACAGTCGAGCCTCGACAAATTGTTAATTAGTACTCATCGACGCTTGTAAGGCTGCCGTCTCTCCTTACGTCGTAAGGCGTACCGGTGTCCCGTTCACCGTGCACACAATTAGACACTGACCAATTAACCGACGTCAAAGGGTTCGCCGCAGCTGACGCTTAACCCCTTTCGGAAGCGTTACGTACATCCCCGTGGCCACGCCGGTCGGCGGTTTGAAAAAGTTCCCAGCCCCCCGACGAGAAACCTGCCGGTTCTTCTTCGACGAATTAGCAAAGCAAATACGAGGCCGAGCGGAGATAATAAGCCAGCTACGGAACGGATTAATGGCCGCGATCTGAAAACCCGTGGAACGTCGTAATCGCGATACCCTCTCGAAAAAAAATCCGGCCCGAGTCACGACGCTCCTTCTTCCGATCTGACCACGTTCCCGTATAATGCGCCATTGTTGTTTCCCCGATATGAACCGCGTATAAGTAATAAGTACACGAGAACGGAATAACGGAGGTATCTTTGCCGAAGAATCTGCCGGCCGACGTTCCAGGGGTTTGTGGGTGTGACCCGCTTCGCATCGTTCTTTTCATACTCGCGATTATCGCGTTCGAATCCACATCCACCTTCGGTCGTTTCTATCGGACCGGTACACACGACTTTTTCTTCGAACGCAACAAACGCAGCACACGCGCGTATCATACGTTCGACTTGAATAATCGATCGGTTTCCGTCACGCATTCCTGAATAATTCAATGAATTTTTGTGACTCGTTTGGAAAATGTAAACCTCAGAGACACACGACGTTTCATGCGTGCCAATTTAATATCTCCGTCGCGAAACGCTCGTTCTACTTTCTATCCGTCGGTTTGCCGGTCGAAGACAGTCGACGTCCGTTTTTTCGCAACGAGAATTCCGCGGGGGTTCGGCACGAATAACTATTAGAAACAAATTATACGATCGCCGCAATGGATCGCGCTAATAACGCGGTTAGATCGGTACGCGTCGGCGTTCGATCGCGGAACGGCCGATTCGATGCGAGTCGTTCGTTTCTAATTGTGAGATGCGCCAATACCTGATATAATTGTAACGAGCAGTTTCGTCGCGCGGTCACTCGAGAGCCGCTCGATGCGAAGACAACGAGTGCATCGTATGTAGAATCGAATCGAAGCACGCGTTTTCGCAACGTGACTAATTGCGGCCACCCCGCGGAACCGTGCACGTGCCAGCCTCGTGTGCTCTCCTGCGTAATTGTCCCGAGCCCTCAGCTCGGGTCTCGAAATCGGCTCTTCGATTAATCACCGAACGAACCAATTACGGCATACGCTGAACCGGAACGTTGAACTGGCAGGATCGACGTCTTCAACCCACGTATCCACAAGTGGACGACGTGGACATAAGAGAATAGACCGAGCATCCAGTGCATTCTTGTTGATCCCGCGAAAGATAGAGTTTCTGTCTCTGTTTCTACGCTATGTGACAAAACACGTTGTACAGGTGTTCGGCTACTGCTTGAGACAAATTTTAAGGGGTGATTCGATTGGGTTGGCAATTAATTGCGGATTTTAAATAAATCTATCGACATACTCCTCAATTATTTAGTTGCCAATCCAATAATTCTCTTTAAATATTGCTCTTTAGCTCATCAGGAATCTTACAACGTTCATACAATCTTAACATGTCGATAGAAACGAGAGAAACTCTTTCATTCATTTTCTTGTTCGAGTCTCCACTAGGTCTATTCTCATATGTCTACGACGTCCACTTGCAGAACATCTTCGTGCATCATTACACGTAAATCATACGACGGAACACTTGTATAACGAATCGTATAACAGATGAATTGTTCCAATAAGGACTTCGATCGAAACGGTTACAGGCAGCAGGTGTCGCGTGGGAAAAGCTGATAGACACGCGGAGGAGCTCGACGGTTAACGAGGATAGAAAAAGGAATAGCTGAATGTAAGTAAAGCGTTCGATAACGGCGTGTGTTCGATGCATCGATTCCAAGGACAGTTGCGACAGTTGCAGTGTCCACGGAAACTGGAACGGTTTACTTAATGGACGGAAATTCTTTCATTCCTGTACGCGTTTCCTTCTGGATTCCGTATTTATTACCAACCGACAATTCCTCGGTGCGTTCTAACTCAGACACTCGTGACACGTTCTATTAAGAATGTCTTTGGAAATCTCATTGAAGAGCGTGTAATAGGATTTCACTGAAGCGAAATATAACTCGATCTTGTTCCTCTTATTCAATAGAGATCGATATAATATAATTCCGAACAAATATTTTACGAATAACAAGTGACACGATTACACGGACAGTTGGTACGACTACTCTGATGTTATGGACGTTAGGCCTCAGTGAAGGGGATGTAGCTCAGTGGTAGAGCGTTCGCTTTGCATGTGAAAGGCCCCGGGTTCGATCCCCGGCATCTCCAATCTTTTTTAACTTTGATGCTGCTATTGTATTATTTTATAAATTATAATAAATTGAAGAACTTTGAAGTCATCCATTTGACGATGATGACAAGCCGAGTTCCCAAATGGGAAACTTGACAGTGAATAAATCTTTTTTTTATAAGCACCTGAGGAAGAGTGACCAGCTACAAGACAAAAGAATAGACTACCCAATTTTATGTCTATGGTTACCCCGAATCAGAGGCTACCTTTTGTAATTAATATTAGCTTGCTCGATGCCCAACTGGTTTTTCCCACGTTGGCCGCTTATGCCTAGAGAGATCAATTAAATTCGTTCAATCGCCAGCGATATTTACTACACGTAATACACGTGACGACCGCTTAAATCTCATACAGTGACTCACTCTCAGCGAAGGTATTCGAACACTTGTTAAGACGCTGATGTTAAAAAATATGCTACGCAGCTGTGTGCAACTTATCGTCAGATCTGCTCGCGGAACTTTTCTACGATAACCGTTGAAATATTTTCGCGTACGCGTGGCAAGCAACGAAGAAATGAAATGGAACTCGAGTCTATATTCCCGAACGAATCTAGGTCGATATCGAGGCGTAACAAGTGGGTTAGGATCGTGGTCGTAAATCCTCCGCGAGGCTTCGAGGACTAGGTTGGAGAACAGGTTTCCGCGAGGGAATCCCGCCGCGAGTCCTTCGTGCCTGCGCGCCAATTAGCGCTTCCATTTATACGACCACGTAATCGGTATTTCGGACGAGAGTGCGAGCGAATCTGGCTCGCATAATGAATAAATTGTGTTGTTGCATAGTTAGAAGTCTCGGTGCGAATTCTACGACCGAGCGATCAAAGGCTTCGCGGGTGTATAGGTACACGCGTTGCGAACCACTTTGCGAGCGTGTGCGAGACGGCAGACGCGATATAAATACCTATCACGAGTGGTTACATTACACTGGAGTAGAGTTGACTGACTGCACCGAGAGAAACCAGCTGGCTCCCTACTATTTTCGAGAAAATAGTACCACCGTAATCGGTAGATAACGCGTCCGGAAGGGTGCCGGTGGTTCATTACGCACCAGATGTTTCTTTCTCCTGTCCCGCGCGGTAATTATAAGGCTCGGTCAACTATTCCCGCGACACGATCGCGATTATATTTAGGCGGATCGATTTAGCGTACGATGTACGAAACCAGAACGAGTTGATCCTTTAAACGATTTAAATAAAAGAAGATTCTCAATTCGTCGCAAATTACACGAGAATTGGACTGATTTTCTATGCTAACGTTTAACTTATTTCGAAATCGGTTTAACAGTCTCTATAAAATTCGAGAATCCAATTTATATGTATAATTCTCACTCGATTTTGTGAGCGATATTTCGAGTTTCTATTGAATGACGTTCAATTTATATTAATGTTATTATATTGATTTTAGGATTCACATCTCGAGTGGGAATTTTCTTCCACACTATTTTGAAACATATTCACATTAATTGCATACTCGACTTATAATTCTAATGTACAAACGTGCAAGACTAGAACGAATATTAGACATCGATTATTTAAGGATGTATTGGCTATACAGTCAATCCCAAAAGTTTATGTTTAGAAAAACGCATTTATCGTTATAATTAAAAATAGATTTATTATCGTTATGATTAAAAATAGTTTTCTTCTAATTTCGATATTTAATGAGTTAAATATGATTAATTGACATTTTATTGATGTTGACAAAATCCGACCATCCCAGCGTCGAAACGGCGAACTTTTGGAAAAAAATTTCGTTTTTCCTCAATAACTCCTAAACCGTTGAATCTACGGGAAAATTGCATACGACATTTCTTGTAGAGGACGACGAGATCTACAATTTATGTATAAAAGTTTTTCGCTAGCATTAATTATTAACGAGTTATTGACGAAAAACGAAAAAACAGTTTTTTGCAAATTACTCGTTAACTATTAATGCTAGCGAAAACTTTTTATACAAAAATTGTAGATCTCGTCGTCCTCTACAAGAAA